GGTGAGCTTGAACCGCCAACCTTGCAGTTCAAATGACTTTGCAGTCTGATGCATTAGCCCACAGCGCCACACCAGGATTCCTGCATATGAATAGATGTAGGCAGTTTGATGCTTATGTGTTCCATCTGGTGAGGTCCATGAGTATAGTCACTGTTGTTGAAACAGGGTCTTTGCAGTGAACATATCAGTGATCTTGCAAAAACTCTTATCAGGTGATCTCCAGCATCGTTTCTGTTACCAAGATTGCATTTTCCAACCACATTTTCCTCTTTATTTCCAATGATAGCATTCCAATGGCCAGTAATTATCAATGCATCTTGGTTGCATGTTTGATTAATTTCAAACTGAAGAAATTGGTAGAATTCTTTCGTTTTTTCATCGGTCGCTTTGGTGATTGATAGGTAAATTTGAATAATAGTTGTATTAACCGGTGTTCCATGTGGTGGTGGTTAAGCACTACTGAGGTGGTTCCGACTCAGAGCAATCCTGTATTGGATCTCTGAGGTTGTAAATCTTTGCTGGAGCAGAAAAGTCTCATCTTTCTTCTCCTGTGGAGTGACTGTTAGATTCGAACTTCTGACCTTGTGGTTAGCAGCCCAACTCATAACCCACTATGCTACCAGGGCTCCTTGGTCTTCCTTATAGGCTTCTAGATAATTATCATACCGCAGACTGCATTGTATTCTAAGACAGATCTGGAAATGTTTTTATGGATGATAAATACATTGTTACTCTCCTTCAATTTGTCATTCTCGGCCTAGTAAACCATATGATTGTCTGATTCAAAATGCCTAATAGCTCAGCTCACTAAGGCCTAGGATATCAATCTTTATATGTTCCATTTCATTTTTGATAGCTTCCAGTTTTCCTAGATTCATAATTCATACATTCCACTTTCTGATTATTAATGAATGTTTGCAGTTGTTTTTTCCCATCCTGAATCTCACTCCATCAGCAAACCAAGGTCCTGAAAGCTTTGCTCCATTCACAACATTAAGGTTGGCTCTGCTTTGAGGAGGTAGCGCTTTCTCAGTATTCTGAATACCTTCCAACATGAGGGGTTCATCTTCAGGCAGTATCTTTGACAATATTCTACCTATTTATAAAAGTTTTCAGGGGCTAATCCTTCAGGACTTCTGCTTTGGTATTATAGGATAAGCACTGAACTTTGAACCACAGAATTGGCGCTTCAAACCCACCAGTGGTTCTTCGGAAACCTCTATATAGGATCGTTATGAATCGGGACAGACTTGATGGTACTTAACAATTCCTCAGAAGTGCTCTGCCTTATTCCTTCTAGTCTGTTTTTGTCCGAAAGCTCCACTGAAACCTCCCCACCATGAGTGAGACAGCTGTTATTTGAGACATCAGTGGCTTTCAGCATCAGGCAAGCCTCCATAGCGCTGACAGATGTGTGGGGTTAGGAGACCAGCTGTGCAGATACAGAGGGCTGGCTCAAGTGGACGGCTTTCTCTGTTGGCTCTGGCGGAAGGTCCCTTTCTCTTCAGCTTTTGCTTCCTGGTTCCTTGAAGACTTCCATATGGCTTGGAATCTACCTTACCCCATCTCTACTCTTACTTAATTTCTTTTATATCTCAAACGGGAGTCCTGGCTGATTGTGAGGGTTGGAAATGTAAAGGTAGACGTTTTATAGCAAGGAGGGGAGTGATTAACATTTCAGTCTAGGAGTGGAGGTCCCTGAGACCATCAAGGGAGAAGAGCGGAGAGCAGGACCCTACCCAGAGAAGCAGTGATGCCTGAGATGGAGACAGAGACGATGACGTGGAAAGATGGAGCAGCTTGGGGACTTCAGACCCAGAGAGGGAGAGGGGCTGTGTGCTGACGACCAGGGGCCAGGCTTGTAGGGTATACCCTTTGGTTGGTTGATGAGGCATGGAGGGGATTGTAATCATGGCAATAAAACAATATACCATAGAATGAATGTAAAACTAATGTTCTCCTATGTAAACTATCACATAATTCACAATAAAACATTAAAAAAAAAAAAAAGGGAGTCCTGATATGGCACTGTGGATTAATGCACTGGACTACAAAATCGCTTTGAACTGCAAGGTTCAATCTCCCCAGCTGCTCCTTAGAAACCCAATCCCACAAGGGGTCGGAATTGACTCAATTGTACTTAACGACAATAATAACAACATACCTCAAAAGAGATGAGCTCAAAATACCCCTACACTAATCCTGCCTGTTAGTCTGACAAAGACGATGCATTCCAAAATGGGATGTAGCTGAAGAGAAGCATTGTGGCTTGTCAGGTGCACTAGAATGATACTCACAGCAACTTTATGCAGAACAGAAACACTGTGTGGTCCTGAGCCATCCTCACAATGGTTACCTTGAGCCCACTGTTGTGGCCACTGTGTCAATGCATCTTGTTGGGGGCGGGGTCTTCCTCTTTTTCGTTGACCCTTCTTCAGGGAGTAGTGCCTCCTGCCACTGTCACTTCTAAGGAACATTCTGGCTGTGTTTCTTCCAAGACAGAGTTGTTTGTTCTTCTGGCAGTCCATGGGACTTTCAATATTTTTTCCCAATACCTTCATTTAAATGCACCAATTCTTCTTTGGTCTTCCTTAGTTACTGTCTAACTTTTGCATGCATGTGAGGTTATTGAAAATACCATGGCTTGGGTCAGGTGCACCTTAGTCCTCATGACATCTTTGTTCATGAATAATTAAAGAAGCATTACCGCTAGTTGGGCATCTGCACAGTGCACACCCCCATTATAGCAAACACCTGACTGAGACATTCAGGTGGAGGACACATATTTTAGACCCCCCATCCCATCTGCATGGCTCAACAATGAAATGAACAACACCTGTGTATGGAAACACCTGTATGAAACACACTCATTTAAGCATACCTGTATAGGTCTCAGTAATACAGAACCATATCCACACAGGTGTAAACTTAACCTGGAACACACCTAGATGAGGGGAGGAGAACTGTGTAACACATTCCTGGGTGAGGAAATACCTGTGAGGTGAAAAGAACCAGGTTGTATGAAGAATGTTGTTGCTAAGTGTCGCCAAGTCGATGCTGACTCATAGCAACCTCATATGATAGAGTAGAACTGCCCTGTAGAGTTTCCTAAACTGTAACTCTTAAGGAAGATCCCCAGATCTTTTCTACGGGAGCCATTCAGTGGTTTTAAGACTCTGATCTTTCAGGTAGCAGCTGAGAGTTTAACCATCACACCACCAGAGCTCCTTAGTATAAGGAATACCTGTATAGGATTGAACTCCAGCTAGGGAAACAGCTTGGGGGGTGGGGTGGGGAGGAGAGCCACCTGTAGGACAGAGGTTCACATAAGCCCACCTGTCAGACACATATCTATGAGAAAACACTTGTGTAGGACATCCTCATGGGAAAACACCCGAATCTCCCAGATTGTAGGACAATGGCAAGGACCACTTGTGAATAAAAATGCCTCTTACGGGGTTCTCTAAGGGAAGCTAGGTGGCCTAGGACTTGCGTGTTTGGAGCACGCCAGACTGGGCAGAAGCGAGTGGGAATCAAATATGCCCTCAAGGCTGTCTCTTGTATAAAACGCGGTAACAGTAAGACAGCCCCTCCTGAGAATCTAGGGTGAAGGGTGACGCTGCAAGGCGCCCTTCTAGGGTATAGAGGAATCGTTACTAATCCTAGGTCTGGTTAAACCCTTATAGGGTTTTGGAGAGGACGACGTAAGAGGTGAGTAAAAGGCCTGGCATGTGTAACGTACTCGGTAAATGTTAGCTTTTGTCATTAGTATTCGCTGTCAAGAATTCCCGGCGCCCCGCCCCCTAAGGGCAAGTCGAGAAACTGCGCCCGAAACTAGTGGGAGGGACTTTCGGCAGGTGCCGCGAACGCGACAGGCTAGGGCCCCGCCTCCAGCGCTCAGCCACTGCGTCTTCCTTCCCAGCTGGGCCCAGGACACTGCCCGGCTCCCCCCGCCCTCCTCGCCCTCGCTCCCCCCTCCCCCGGCCTTCTGGAGGGAGCAGTCAGCCTGGCATGCAGACCTAGCCGTGGACCCTTTAAGTAGGCTTGGCAAGCCGCGAGGCAGCGGAGCCAAACTCTGCCCTAGGTCAACTGGGAAGCCCCGCCCAGATGGGAGGAGGCGGAGCGGCCCCACGGCTCCAGCCAATAGGAAGACGATTTTGCAGCCTCGCCGCGCGTTGATCTTCAGTTTCCCGGGCTACGTGGGACGAGGAAAGGAGGCGCGCGGGTGGGATGAAGGGACCAAAGGAGCCCACCGCGTCTTGATCTTGTGTTTCAGTAGCAGAGGAGAGAGCGTGAAATGGGAGGGCGGGCAGATGGAGGGCTACTTGGGCAGGATTCCTCTGGAAAGGCGAGAATTTTCGTTCCTGCAGGGGATGATTAGTGGGGGGAGGGTGTTCAAGTGGAAAGGGATGACTAAATCCAATCCCTGACATCTCCCTACTTAGCTACATTGGAGGAAGTCAACTGAGGCACATAGCGGCGGAACTCTAAAACAAGAAGTTGTTAAGTACCGTGTTGTGGTTTCTGACTCACAGTGACCCTGCACAGGGTTTCCGACACTGTAAATCTTTAAGGGAGCAGAGAGCCTCATCTTTCTCCCGCAGAACCACTGGTAGTTTCGAACTATTGACCTTGAGGTTGGCAGCCCGACTCGTAACTACTGTGCTACCAAGTGAGACCATGGAATTCCATAGCTCCGCTTTCCAGAAGAAACCATGCCACCCCAGAGCATCCCAGAGTCCCTCCCCACGCCCCCAGCTCCGCCCCCGGCCCCCTCCCCCCTATGTAGGTCGCGGGGAGGAGATGCAAGTTCTGGCGCGGGCGGCGACGGCTAGCAGCCACCGGCTCCTGCGAGTGGCTGAACCCGGCTGGCAGAGCAGAGGCTGCAGTGGTCGGGTTCGCGGAGGTGGCCCTGCAGGGCTCCGGGGGGGAAGGGGGAGCCGCGCCGCCCCCACTGAGGCCGCCGCCACCAGGCCTCCCTTCCCCCCCGGGCTGGCGCCATGCGGGGGGGCCCAGGCGACGCGGAGCGGCGGCAGCGCTGGGGGCGCCTCTTCGAGGAGCTGGACAGTAACAAGGATGGCCGCGTGGACGTGCACGAGTTGCGCCGGGGTCTGGCCCGACTGGGAGGGGGCGGCCCGGACCGCAGCAGCCAACAGGTATCCGCGTCTGGTGTCCGGCACTCAGTCCCCGGTAACCCGAACCCCTGAATGGAGCCCCATGAGCCCCCAGGGACAGTCTGTGGCCAGACTCCAGGACCTGTGTGCACCCTGAGCGGCTCAGTTCCCTTTCCTCTGCTACGCAGGTTTGGGCCTAAACGGGAATACAGAGGCCCCAGGCCTGCAGCACAGCTTGCCTACAGCCTCGAACCCCCAGCAGGATGGGGCTGTCGCCTATGGAACGGAAAGGTCTCCTTTCCTGCCTATAGCTAGCGACACACCCTCTGGACTCTCCGCACAGCCCAAGACTCGTGCTACCCCCCCCCACACACACACACCCTCCACCCATCACCCCCACCCTGGCCCCTCAGGGTACCACAGCCCTCCCAACCAGCTTCCCCAGCCATGGGTTTACATCCTGTCCCCTGACCTTTCCTGGATTTGGCTCAGTGCCCTACGCTGACCCTGCCTGAGGCCACCTTCAGCTGGGGACCTAGCTATAAAGACAGGAGCCCCCTCCCCCAGAGAACTCCCCAGAAAGTTAGTTGTCTGCCCCACTGCCTGTCTTTGTGGCCTCTTGAGAACTTCAAAGCAAATTCCTCATTGTCCGGATGGTGTACACTGAGGTCTTTTCATACAATTTGGGTCTGTTCTGCCCCATGCTGCCCAGAGACAGGTTTTGATAAGAGACAACTGGGATGATAGGCAGGTGGAACAAGAGACCAAGGCTCAGTGACCTTGACTTTGTCATTTGACCTCAAAACGCTGCGGTTTGTTGAAAACTGGGCAAACACTGCCCACATGGCTAAGAAGTGAACTTTGGGGAGGGGGGAGGGGCAAGGGAAAGGAGGAATTGCTCTGCTGTCTTTCCTGGATGTTGGGGTGACTAGTTTTGGACCCCTATTTTGGAGAGCAGCCTCCTGGAGTACCTTCTGTCTCTGCCCCCTTTTGTTAGGGCATCTCCCCAGAGGACACTGACCCTGAGGGCGGGCTGGACCTGGAAGAGTTCTCACTCTACCTGCAAGAGCGAGAACAGCGCCTGCTGCTCATGTTCCACAGCTTGGACCGGAACCAGGACGGTATGACCAGCCTCCAGGCAGGGCCTGGGGCTACAGGTGCTGAGCCACTGGGGGTGCAGAACTGGAGGGTACTTCTCCCTGCTGACTCACAAGCTATTTTGGGCACACTCCCCACCCCCAGCCAGCCCATCCTACTTCTCCTCTCTTCTGGGGTACAATCCATCAGGGGAAAAAAATCGCTACGATTGTTCTATGAATCCTTATGTAATACAGACTTAGCATCACCATCAATACCATCTTCTGGGTCCCTACTATTCCCTTTTGGTCCCCTCTAGTATGGTGGTTTCTGTGTTGTGACCCCGTACGTGCAGAGTAGAAATGTACCATAGGGTTTCCAAGTTTTTGGAAGCAGATCGCCAGGCCTTTCTTCCGAGGTACTTCTCGGTGGGTTTGAATCGCCAGCCTTTCAGCATAATTATTTGCTTTACTCGGAGGCTCCTTTCTCCCTCTAGCATAGGGACCTCCCTTATTACTCTGGGACTCATTCTGGAATAGAGGATTCCCCAGTATTACCATAGTTCCCCTTTTCTGATTCCAGTGGGTCAGGGGCAGCCTCTCTCCTAACCCCAAGCCACACACAATCCGGCCTCAAACTTTACCCTGCGTTTCTGGATCTCCTGGTTTTATTGTTGTTGTTAGGTGTCATCGAGTCGGTACCAACTCACAGCAACCTTATGCATAGCAGAACAAAACACTGTCCGATCCTGGGCCAGCCTCACAATTGTTGCCACACTTGAGCCCGTTGATGCTGCCACTTGGCCAATCCATCTCGCTGGGGGTCTTCCTCTTTGGGCCATCTCTAGTCCAAACCTTCTTGTTCCTTGACCTCAGGTCGCCCCAGGTACCACACATACACCCCACACTCACACACACTGTATTGGTTTTATAAGTCCGCGAGTCCTAGTGTGGCACTGTACGATAAGCACTCAACTGCAAGGTCAGTTTGAACTGCAAGGTCGGTGGTTCAAACTCACCAGCCACTCCTTGAAAACTATACAGGGTCACTATGAGTTGGAACTGACTCAACAGCACTTAACAACGACATAGAAAAGTACCACAGACCATTGTTGTTGTTGCATGCCGTCGAGTTGGTTCTGACTGATAGCAACCCTGTATAGACTGGTGGGTTTGAGTGGCCGACCTTGTAGTTAGCAGTCCAGTGCTTGTCCTTCAATGCCATCCTAGGGCTGTCGTTGTTGGGTGCCACCAAGTCCATCCCAACTCATTCCTATGTGACAGAGTAGAATTGCTTCATGGAGTTTTCTAATCTATTTCCTTTATGGATGCCAATTGCCAAATCTTTCTCCCATGGAACCTCAAACTACCAGCATTTTGATTAGCAGCTAAACACTTAACCATTGTCCACCAGTTTGCCAGAAACTTCGTGTCTTGTGCTTGGAGGCTAGAAGTCTGGAATCAACGCAGGTTCTGGGAGAGATCTTCTCTGGCCTCTGTCAGCTTCTGGGGGTCTCAGAAACCCTGGGGGCTCCTTGATTGTAAACTCATCTCTCTAATCTCTGCCTCCATCTTGACTCGGCATCTTTCCTGTATCTCTGACTTTGTAGCGTTTGTCTTTTTTTGAAGGGACACAAGGGAAGACCCGTGCGTGACGCAAGTGTGATTCGCAGCTAACCTAAAAGGGAGCCCTGGGCATGCTGTACGTTAAGCTTTGAGCTTCTGTCCAAAAGGTCAGCTGTGCAAACGCAGCCGCTCGCTGCTCCTTGGGACAGAGATGAGGCAGCCCGCTTCCGTAAAGATTTACAGTCTCAAAAACCCTAGGGAGCTATTCTACTCTGTGCCTTAGGGTTGACTATGAGTCAGAATCAACTCAATGGCAGTGGGGCTTTTGGGGGCCTTGGTTTTAGATTGCCAATCACAAGGTTCACAGTTTTGAACCCCCCAGCAACTCCATGGAATAAAGAACTAGATGACACCCAAGAAAAGCCTGTGAAGAAGCAGTTCTACTCTGTAGCACATGAAATCTGCTGGAACCTGAATGGACTTGACAGGGGCAGGTAGAAGGCACTAGGTACATGGGATCAGGACCCCCCTTTCAGCAGTATGACCTCAGATTAATTGATTATTAGTAGTAAAGACCCTATGTCCAAACAAGGTCGTATGCCCAAATACTAGTGGTGAGGACTTCAAACAGTCTTATTGGAGGGCACATTCAGCCCCTGACACTCACCTCTCTGCAGGTCACATCGATGCCTTGGAGATCCAACAGAGTTTCCGGGCTTTGGGCATTTCCATCTCCCTGGAACAGGCAGAGAAGATTCTGCACAGGTGAGCAGCTCAGGTTCTGAAACCCATGTCACTCAGGCACCCTGACCCCAGGCCCAGGGGGGTGCAGCCAGCTGAGCTTTCACCTTTCACGGGGGGAGTGGATCTTGAGCCAGTTGTTTCTCCTCTCTGAAGGCCTGTGAATGAGGATGACCCCATTCCTTCAGTAGGCGGTGTGTTCGTTTCTTTTTGTCGTTCGTCACCTGCAATCAAGTTGTCCTCAAACTCAGAGGGACCCCATGCACAATGGAACAAAGTGTTGCACACTCCTGCCCCATCCCCAAGACCGGTTACAGATTGGACCATAGCGATCCATAAAGTTTTCGTGGACTGATTTTCGGAAGTTGATGGTCAGGCTTTTCCTCCTAGTCTACATGCATCTGGAAGCTCTGCTGAATGCTGTTTCATATCCTGACAATACATAAGTTTCCACAGACAGATGGACGGTGGCAGAGCATGAGATGTATGGGCCAGGAATGGAGGAAAAAGATTGTCCCAGTTTCACATCACTGCTTTATTAGTTCTTGATGATGGCTATAGCAAAATGCCACAGATGAGGCAGCTTTATAGGAACTTCTCACAGTTCTGGGAATTCAAAACCAAAGTAATGACTGAGGCTTTGTGGGAAAATCTATTCCATCTCCTTAGAGCCTTGCTTTTTGGGTCATGTGACCTCCTTCCTGGGTCTCTCTGTATCTTCCATCTTCTTTTATTTTTTTTCAATTTTTATTGTGGATTGAATGAAAGTTTACAGGGCAGATCATCAGTTTTACATTCAACAAATCATACATCTTGTTTCATTATAATCATTATAATCCCCTCCATGTACCATCAGTTAACAGTATTTCTCTCTATTCATTTTAGCTCTTTTTTTTTTTTTTTTTAATCACTCAGGCATATATAATAATTTAAATCACCGAAGGGCCATTTTGCAAGTCTGCCTCCCTGCCTCCAGCTCTCAGTCCCTCTTCCCATGCATCTAGAGTCCTCAGTGACTCTCCCTCTCCACGTCCCCATCTCTGCCTCCATCTCTCGTGTTGCTGCTTCTCTGGATAAGGTCCCACATTCTGATTGTGCTCTTCTCCCTTGATGGTCCTGTTGTTGTTATTAAGTGCCATCGAGTCAGTTATGACTTATAGCAACCCTGTATATGGTTTCCAAGGAGCAGCTGATGAGTTTGAACCACCGACCTTGCAATTCAAACAACTTTGCAGTCTGGCGCATTAACATACAGCACCACGCCAGGACTCCTTGATGGTCCTAGGGTCCTCTATTTCTGGACTGTAAAATTAACTACTCTCCCGTTTTTGTTACAAAACTTCTACCTTTACAATTATGACAGTTGCAATTTGTTATGATAACAATTACTCCCTATTGAATCTTAAGAATCTTATTTCCATCTCCTTTCACCAGACCCATCTAGACAAGATGACAGCTATTCAGTGGGATCTCTTTCTTTGCCCCCATACTCTTAAACTAAACTCCCTCTTGAAAACTTGTAAGCCAGTCACTTCGTGCCTTTACTGCCCCCTCATTTTAGATAGCCAATGTCTAAGTTGCCCCTCCCTATCTACCCTGTATACAGAAGGGATATCCCCTCTTCTTTTATAAGGAGTCATTCAGAGGGAATTAGGGCTTCCCCCTATTCTAGTGTGATCTCACGTGAACTGAACTGATGACCTCTGCAAAGACCCTCCTGTTTGCCAATGTCCCATTCCTAGGTGCCAGGGGTTAGGGCTTGAGTGTATATATCATAGTGTGATTAGAACGAGTCCAATTAGAATTAGCATTAGGCATGTGGGCAGAGCCCCTGGGTGCCGTAAACAGTGAAAATACTCAGCTGCCGACCAAAAGGTTGGAAGTTCATGTTCACCCAGCGATGTCTCAGAATAAAGGTCTGGTGGCTAACTTTGGAAAGATCAACCATTGGAGCACGCAGGGGGTGGCCATGAGCCCCGGGTGACGGGACAGCCACTGTTTTGTTTTGCTTTTTTAGGAGCACTCAGTATGGGACAATCAGAACTGTAGTAGGCATGTGTTCACAGAGCCCTGGTAGCAGCGTAGTTAAATACTCAAGTGCTAACCAAAAGATTGGTGGTTCCAACTCACCAGCCTCTTGGTGAAAGAAAGACTTGGTGATCTGCTTCTATAAAGATGACAGCCTAGGAAACCCTGTGGGACAGTTCTACTCGGTCACCTGGGTTGTCCCTATGAGTTGGAGTCTGTTTGACAGCACCTACTCACTCCGGTAGCGTAGTGGTTACGAATCGGGCTGCGAACTGCAAGGTCAGCAGTTTGAAACTACCAGCTGCTCCGTGGGAGAAAGATGAGGCTTTCTGCTCCCATAAAGATTTATAGTCTCGGAAACCCTGTACAGGGTCGCTATGCGTCAGAACTGACTCCACGGCACATTACAACAACAGTAACAATGAAAGTCCTATACACCAGGGAGCTGTCTCCATCCCCAAACCTGCTTCTAACAGACTCTCACCCCAGGTTCCCTCCTCCCCAACCCTCAGCATGGACCGCGATGGCACGATGACCATTGATTGGCAGGAATGGCGAGACCACTTCCTGCTTCACTCACTGGAGAACGTGGAGGACGTGGTCTATTTCTGGAAGCATTCCACGGTGAGGTGGGAGTGGCTCTCCCCATTTGGGTGCCCGGAGATGGAGTCTAGAACCCTCTAGGAGGAGGTTCCCTTCCTCTCTTTTTCTTTTCTTTGGGGAGCCTTCTGATAGTTGATTATAGTCTTTTGGGTTTGCAAGGAGTGTTTCCCTGTGGAGACTCTAGGGCAGGTGGTGGAGCTGGGGTTCAGGGCAGGAAGACCTCACCAGATGTGGCACCAGATCTGCCCCTCTCCACCCACTAGCTCCCCTTCTGTCTGGTTCCCACTGGGCTGCAATTTAGCAAACTCCAATAGAAAGCCTTTGCCTTAGAAGGATCCTGTGGTCTTCCTGAAGGGGGCTCTGGAGATACTGGTTCCCGGTGGGAATCCCTGAACCCTGCTTCGGGTAGACTCCGACAGCTTTGGGAGGGGAGATCAAGTGAACCCCAACCTGAAGGATCCCCTGAGGTACTGGGGTGGAAATTCCATAGGTGAAATCCATTGGAGCTCTGGTCCTTGGAGGAGATCTGGTGGGATCGAGTGAGGCCTGGGAGGGATCTGTTGTCCTATCTTGGGGCATCCCAGGTGGGATGGCATGTCCTGGAAGATCTGGAATCTTCCTGTGGGAAACCCCGGGGAGGTATCATTCAGAGCAATCTCATTGGCTCTGGAGGGATCTTTATGTGGTGAGGTCTGGTGAGGGTTGGGGTCTTTGTGTGGGAGATTGTGGGGTTGGATGCTTTGGTGGAATCTGGTGGGGGCTTAAGGGGAATCTCTTAGGCTCTCCAAGCAGGATTCATCAGTGGGCTCTCAAGAGGGTCCGAGAACTCAAGGGGACACTCCTTATTTAGGATTTGTGCTCACCTCCCTCCCCACGTGGCCTGACTGCCCCCCAGCCCTACCCTCTAGTCCAACACAAGGGTGATTAGGATAATGTGTCCCTGTCCCCTCTGGTCTGACCCTCCAGCCTCCACCCTCAGGTCCTAGACATTGGTGAGTGCCTTACGGTGCCTGACGAGTTCTCGGAGCAGGAGAAGCAGACTGGCATGTGGTGGAAGCAGCTGGTAGCAGGCGCGGTGGCTGGCGCCGTGTCTCGGACGGGCACAGCCCCCCTGGACCGCCTCAAGGTTTTCATGCAGGTGAGTGGCCTTGGAGAGACCTGCCCCCTCCCCAGACCTGGGCCTGGTTCCAAACCCCCTTGTCTCCCTTCCCAGGTCCACGCCTCCAAGACCAACCGCTTAGACATCCTGGGGGGTCTACGGAGCATGGTCCGAGAGGGGGGCGTCCACTCCCTGTGGCGGGGAAACGGCATTAACGTCCTTAAGATCGCACCGGAGTCGGCGATCAAGTTCATGGCTTATGAGCAGGTGAGGGCTGGCGTGGAGAACCAGGACTGGACATGTGGATGTGTAGGCGTGTGACCTGGGAGTGGATGTCTGCCCCCTGTGTGGTGTCCTTGGCTGGGAAGAGAGGGGAGGGTGCACCTTCCTAGGAGCTAGGAGGGCTCCACCCAGAGTTCCTACCTCCTTGTGCCTTGTTCCACAGATCAAGCGGGCTATCCGGGGGCAGCAAGAGACACTACGTGTGCAAGAGCGCTTCGTGGCTGGTTCCCTGGCCGGCGCCACGGCCCAAACCATCATTTACCCCATGGAGGTGAGAAGGCAGGGGGCCTCACTAGGGTTGGGGAACTACTGAAGCCACTCAGCAAATCTCTGTGGTCTGCAAGCATTGAGAAGGCAAGCAAGATATGCATCCCTTCTCCCCAGTTCAGACTGGGGCTCAGGCCAGCACTGATATTCTACGTGTGGTTTTTAGGAACAGTTGTCAGCTGCCATCCATTCAGCTCCGATTCATGGTGGCCCCTTGCACAGCAGAACAAAATTCTGCCCAGCTCCCGTACCAACGTCAGAATCCATTGGACATTAGTGATCCACAGGGTTCTCATTTACTGATTTTCAGAAGTTGGTTGCCAGGCCTTTCTTCCTAGTCTTTCTCAATCTGGAAGTTCTGCTGAACTCTGTTCAGCATCATAGCAGCATGCAAGCCTCCACTGATGGACGGATAGTGGTTATATAAGGTGCATTGGTTGGGAATCAAACCTGGGTCTCCCACAGGGAAGGTGAAAACTTCATTGCTTCTTGGGGGTTAAGAGGTTGACTATAACTATTTAGTGGTTGTAGGAGCCAGATATTTATAGATATGCCTCATCTAAGTACACTTGTTCCTAGGAGAATCATTTTTAAGCATAACTGTTTATAGAGAACTTATTTTTGTGGCTAAGTTGAATATCAGAGTTTTGACAGAAAAACCAAATCAAGTCAGTGAAATCTGGGGGTGAACCGTTCAGAAGTGATGTGGTGACTTCACGGTGTTTAGAGACCTAGGTTCTTCCCTTCGATCTTGTTCCACTCACTACCTCAGCATATGGTTTCTACCTTATATTCCAAAATGGTTGCTTGTAGTTTGCTCATCACATCTACATTCCAGCCAGCAAGAAGGAAACGGAAATAAAGGGGGGAACGTGCTCTTGCCTTTAAGGAGGGAGTGCCCCTCCTATGAGTCTTTCTGAGTCTCACATGATAGCTTCTATTTTATTTACTGGGGTTTAGTCACATGACCCCACACATCGGGAAGCTGGGAAATGTAGTCTTTATTTGTCAGTGTCTGTGTACTTGCTAGAAAGCAGGGCTTCTATTATTAAGGCATGGAAGTTCTTGGGGGGTACAAACCATTTGTGCTTGACTATTAAAGAGTAGCAGTTTGAACCTACCTGGCTGTGCCACAAAATAGCCTGGCTGACTATCTGCACCCAAAAAACCCTATGGATGGAGTACAGTTCTACTCTGTAAAACATGGGGTCCCTGTGAGTAGGAATCAACTCCATAACAGGGATTTTTCTCAGTTACTACTGAGGAGCAGTCCTGGGAATGTGGGGGGGGAGAAGGGGGAAGATGCATGCAAATGGTTAATACGCTTGACTACTAACCAAAATAGGAGCTCTGGTAGCGTAGTGGTTACGAATCAGGCTGCGAACCTCACAGTCAGCAGTTCGAAACAGCCAGCGATTCCACAGGAGAAAGATGAGGCTTTCTGCTCCCGTAAAGATTTACAGCCTCGGACACCCTGTTACAGGGTCGCTATGAGTCAGAACTGACTCCACGACACACAACACTAACCAAAAGGTTGGGAATCCACCCAGAGGTACCTCTAGGGGAAAAAGCCTGGGAATCAACTTGTAACTCTGAAAGTAGCCATTAAAAACTCTCTGGAGCAGAATTCCACTCTAGCACACGTGGGATGGCCAAGAGTCTGAATCAACTCGACATCACCTGGTATTATTATTAAAGGAGAAAAGGACAGTTACATTATATAGATTTTGGCTACAGTAGCCAACTCCTTTAGGCATTTGGCAGCAGATTTCAGAGTAAGAGTTTTCAATGTAACTATTTGTAGAGTGAGTTACTTAGAGGGAGGGGACAGCTTTTCCAGGCTTAACGGTTGCCCTGATCCTCCCCAGGTGCTGAAGACGAGGCTGACCCTGCGGCGGACAGGCCAGTACAAGGGGCTGCAGGACTGTGCCCGGCAGATCCTGGAGCAGGAGGGGCCCCGAGCCTTCTACCGCGGCTACCTGCCCAATGTGCTGGGCATCATCCCCTACGCAGGCATCGACTTGGCCGTCTATGAGGTCTGTGGGCAGCCCGCCTCACCTTCCCTTCCTCTCCCCTGTGGTGTTTGCCCTTCCTGGGGAGTTAACTCAGTTTACTTCCTGCAGCTAGGGGGGAAATCCTAGAGCACAGACTTTGGAATTCTTGGGAACACCATGGTCTTGGTCTCCTGTGGTAACAAGAGGTGGCATACGTGGGGGTGCTTGAAAGAACAGAATTTTATCTTCTCACCTTTGGGGAGGCCAGAGGTCCGAATTCAGAGTGTCCCAGGCATTACTTAATTCCTTCATTTTCAAACGTTCCTTAAATGTGTCTGTCTTACCCCGTGTGTATATGTGTCTGTGGGTCACTCTTTGCTGCTCTTTCTAGAACCCAGAAATGACTGGGTTTAGGATCCACCGGACACTGGAATGGCAGCAACAGACTGATGGATTGCATTACATGACATTTTGGGAAGGGAGAACATCCGATTATATTTTATTAGAGATCATCAGAAGACAACGGTAAAACTCTCACCTTCCATGCATGAGAACTGGGTTTGATTCCCGGCCACCACCTGTCTGTCAGTAGAAGTTTGTGTAGTGTTGCTAGGATACTGAATGGGTTTCACTGGAATTTGAAATTGGCTCATTTTCAGTAGATCACCAGGTCTTTCTTCCTAGTCTGGAGCTCTGCTCATATTTTAAATATCAGTGGCCTAGCTTCTGGTATCACAGCAACACACCAGCCACACTGACAGACGAGTGGTGACAAAAATCATGTGACCAACCCTAATCCAAGATACTCCACCATTGCTGTCCATATTGTGCCCTTCCTAGCACCCAGTAGGTACAGAGTCAAATGAGACAAGGCCATTGTTTATTCATGTTTCCGCTTGTTCATCCATTCATTTTCTCTTTCATCAAATATTTTCTAAGGGTTTATAGGGGCTCAAGACACTGTATTGGTTGAATGAGGCTGATCCAGCTCCAGCTTCCTGGCCAGACAGTCAACCAACACATTAGGTAGTTTCAGATTCTGATTTCTTCTCAGAAACCAGAAAACAGGATGTTTAATCACCAGTCACAGTGGGGCTGAGCAGGGAAGAGGAAGACCCCCCAAGAAGGTGAAGATGGAACGGAAGGCTGGGCTGGACCAGGAGGCAGTGTGAGCAAGAACACAGGAAGTACAGAGGGTGGCCAGTGGCAGCAAACGTGGCCTCTTGGCAGCGTGGAAGACACGAGGGGAATGGTTAGGACAGAAGACGGAGTCCGAGGAGTCAGCTCGGACTTCAGGCTGAGGGATTTGGCTTTCTCTTAAGTGTTAATAGGAAGCCATTGAGGATTTTGAGCTGTAAGCTTATGTCTTAGTTCTCTAATGTTGCTGTCACAAAAATACCAAAAGGGGGTGGCTTTAAGGAACAGAAAAATATTTTCTCACAGTATTCCTCCCCTCCCCCCCCCCCCAAAAAAAAACAACCCATTGCCTTCAAGTCAATTCTGACTCTTAATGATCCTATAGGACAGAGTGATGGTGGTGGTGGTAGTGTGCTCTGGGGTCAGTTCTGAATCATAGCGACCCTGTATAGGGTTTCCGAGGCTGAAAATCTTTACGGGAACAGAAAGCCTCCTTTTTCTCTCTTGGGATGGCTGGTAGTTTTGTACAGCTGACCTTGCGGTTAGCATCCCAACTTGTAACCCACTACCAGAGATCCTTATAGGACACAGTGGTGGTGGTTTTATGCCGTGGAGTCAGTTCTGACCCATAGCGACTCTGTATAGGGTTTCCAAGGAGTGGCTGGTGAGCTTGAACCACCGACCTTGCAGTTCAAACCGACTTTTCAGTCCAGTGAATTAACCCACAGCGCCACCCCAGGACTCCATTTACAGATTAGGAGGCTAGAAGCCTTTCTCGCTCTCTATTGGGTGTGGGGAAAGGTCCTTGTCTCCATTTCTGTCTCTGGACAATCTTCATGTGGCTTGGCGTCTCTCTTCTCCCCATCTCTGCTTACTAGCTTCCTTGTTTAATCCCTTTCATATCTCAAAAGAAACTGATTTAAGACACACCCTCCATGAATCCTGTCTCATTAATAGAATAAAGAAAACCCATTCCCAAATGGGATTATGAGCACAAGTATGGGGAACGTGAGATCATCCTAGACTGCTGACTGCAAAGTTGGTGGTTCAAAGCCACCAGCCACTTAGAGGAAGAATGATGAAGTGGTCTGTTCCTGTAAACAATGACAGTCTTAGAAACCCTATATAGTGTCTCTACGAGTCTGAATAAACTCAATGGCAGTGGGATTTTTTTTTGTTGTTTAGGGATTAGGGTCTATGCCTACTGGGGGTTGGGGGGTTGGGGGGGAAGCACAGTTCAAACCATAACTCCTTTTTAACAGATTCTGTGCCCAAGAGGACTCTATGTGGCCAAATGGTTTGTGCTTAACTGTTCGCCTCAAGGTTGATAGTTCAAACCCATCTGGTGGGACCAAGGAAGACAGGTCTAGTGAGCTGCTTCCATTAAGATTACAGCCAAATCCTGAGGGCTCGTTAAACCTTGAAGGGAAGCCACCCTAAGGTCACCAATAGCTAAATAACAGACTGATTCACAAACTAGACACTATCACCATGACTACTGTTGCTTGGTTGGTTCTGTGCCATGGAGTCATCAGTTCCAACCCATAGCGACCCTGTACAGGGTTTCCGAGGCTGTAAATCTTTACAGGAGCAGAAAGCCTCATCTTTCTCCTGCGGAACAGCTGGTAGTTTTGAACTGCTGACCTTAAGGTTCGCAGCCCGATTCTCAACCACTACGCTACCAGAGCTCCTTCTACGCTACTGTACTCATTAAGAAAACAATCTCCATGAGACCAAACAGACATTGTAGGATAAGTACAAATCCACCAGTCACTCCATGGAAAAGGATTAGGCTTTCGGCTCCCATAAAGATTGAAACCCTATACGGGGTCGCCATGAGTTGGAACCGATTTGATGGCAATGAATTCTTGGAGTTATGAGACCGTATGGTCAACCATGAGTTTAATACAAAGATTAGAGAATGTAAGGAGTTAGGGAAACTAGATGAATGCAAACGGAACAACCAGAAGGCAAAGTAAATATTGAGAATGTTCTCACCCATTGTGAAGAATGTAATCAACGTTACTGAACAATTTGTGTAGAAAGTATTGAAAGGGAACCTAAACGGATGTGTAAACCCTCACCAAACACACATTGTTGTTGCTGTTGTTGAGTGCTGTTAAGTCAATTCCGTAAATACTCTTTAAAAAAAAAAAAGACTACAGTCAAGAAAACCATATGCAGCAGTCTGCTGATCACCATGAGTTGAAATCGACTTGACAGCAAAAGGTTGTAATTTTGTTTTTTTCGGTTTTTTTTTTTTTTTTTTTTTTTGAGGAATCTAAGAAACTTCAGAAACCCTGAGTTCTGTTTGGAGTTTCAGAATGTATGTTTTTTTCCTTTAAACCCAAACAAAACCAACAAAACCCACTCCACCAAGTCGACTCTAACTCATAGTAGCCCTGTAGGACACAGGAGAACTAGTTCATGGGGTTTCCAAAGCTGTAAATCTTTACTGGAGCTGACAGCATTCTGTTTCTGCCACAGAGCAGCTGGTGGGTTTGAACCGCTGACATCTTAGCTAGCATCCAAACAACACACTGTGCTACCAAGGCTCTTTGTGTCCTAGAAAGGCTCTGAGAAGCCCTGCAGTGAAGTGACTTATTTGCTGTGTTTTAGTTCAGTATTTCCCAGACTTTCTCCATCACCTAAATCTCTTTTAACTGAATGTTGTTGTTGTTGTTAAGTGCCGTCGAGTCAGTTCCGACCCATAGCGACTCTGTACAGGGTTTCCGAGGCTGTAAATCTTTATGGGAGCAGAAAGCCTCATCTTTCTCCCGTGGAACAGCTGGTAGTTTCGAACTGCCAACCTTGAAGTTAGCAGCCTGATTTGTAACCACTACGCTACCAGAGTTCCTTGAGAAGACAATAATGGGAAACACATGTCTCTCCTTACTTAGTCCGTGCCCAGGTCAGACATTACTAATGTACCACGGCACTCATTCCATCCCTCAACACAGTTTGATTACCGATGGTATAGAACTGACCTAGGAAATGAAACCCATGAGCTACCTCAGCCCTAAGTCAAAACAACAACCACACATATAATAAAAGACCCCGTCCTTAAAAATGTCTCGCTTTAGAAGGGATTGTTGCTAAGTGTCCCGAGTCAGTTCCGACTCACAGTGATCCTATACGTAGGGTTTCTGAGGCTTTAAATCTTTGCGGGAGCAGAAAGTCCCATTTTTCTCCCGAGGAGCACAAGGTGGGTTCAAACTGCTGACCTTACGGTTTACAATCCAGTGTTTAGCCTGTGGAGCCACCATACTTCCTTCAAAGAGATTAGCCCCCTTCACAACTTCAGGTGCACAACTCCGGACTTGAACTTGGCTCCAACTGGCAACTCTCACCTTGTTGGACTTTGTGGTGTTGGCGAAGTAACTTCTCCGGAATTTCTGTTTCTCATCCGTAAAATGGGGATAATGTTGGCACTTGTTTTAGTTTGAGATCTTCCGGAAGCCAACCCTGAGCCAGGGATGTGAGGGCCAAGTGGTTTCTCTGGGACGTAATGAGTCAAGGAAGGTGGGCTAGCAAGAGAGTGCTGTAAACAAGCTATTGCTGTGGGCATTGAACATGTTCCTGCTGGGACCTCCTCCGGGAGAATGTGCCCACCGGAGGGGTGAGGAAGTTGGAGTAGAAAACAACAACTTTTTTTAATTGTGATACAGGTTCCTTACTTCTTCCCTGCTGTTCCCATTGACATCCTTCCTGCCTTCTGACCTTTGTCGTTGTTAAGTGCCCTTGAGTTGGTTTCGACTCACAGAGACCTGGTATAGGGTGTCCAAGGAGCGTCTGATGAGTTTGAGCATTATGTTTGGTTGGTTATGTGCCATGGAGTTGGTTCCGATTCATAGCGACCCTATACAGGGTTTCCGAGGCCGTCTCATCTTTCTCCCGCAGAACAGCTGGTAGTTTTGAGCTGCCAACCTTGAGGTTCGCAGCCCAATTCTTAACCACTGTGCTACCAGAGCTCCCAATGTCTAAGTTCCTCATTCCTGTGGACCCTCTGTACCAAGGGGAACGGAATGATCCTGGATCACTGTAGAGATTTGTCTGCTCCGTTGCCATACTGCTTCCACTTACAGTGGGTTACTCTTTCTTTCTTTTTTTCGGTTCCTCTTCTTTCTTCCTCTAATCATGTTCTGATCATCCAGCCATTGATGCCAGGTCAAATGGGTACTCTCTGCAAGT